ACTTCAAAATGTAGTGGGGCACAAAAACTCCAAAATCTAGTGGGGCATGTGCCCCACTAGGCCCCATTGTAAATCTGTCAGTGTCTAATGAAATGTGTGGTTAAAATTTAAGTTCGACCTGAAACACGACACCCATCCATGTGGTCATTAGATTTTAAACAACAAAAAACCTCACATGACCAAATAAATAAGTTAATCTTTTTTTATAGGTACTAGTTTGCATGCACCTTTGTTATGTGGTGGGGTCCTCCACCTTTACATGAAATGCAAGAAGCTTCTTCTCGTCCTTGCATCATTATGAAACAAGAAATGTGACATACAATGGGGTGAGGGAGAGGTTGGCTTGTTCACGCGTTCAATCAATCATTCGGTCATTCCCGTCCCCTCCCCCACAATCGATCGGAATTGCATTTATAGGTGGACTAAAATTTATAATTAGCTTAACATTTCTATCAAGTGAAAAATAAATAAATTGAATCAATATAATGATGAAGTTGAAGAAAAGAAAAAAGGGGACCAACTTGAGACTTAGCTTGAGTCCAAATTTCCTTTATTATGGTCTGCCCCCACCCCGACACACGACCACATGTAAACTTCTCCCTCAACCTCAAATAGAGAGAGAAATCAACTTCGAAATCCTTAACAATTTTGAGAAGAGAGAACGAGGGTACAAATGCCCCCATCAAGACATCATCTTGGGGTCCCCTTTCATATGAAATGATAGAAAAGAACTTGTGCACTAAACAACCTATAAAAGCTTGATTATCCTTCATTCATGCACGCTGGACATGCACATGGACGAGTCTTTTCAAATGGAAGTTTTTGTACTGACTTGCAATATGGGGTGGATTGTTCGAGGCACATGTATTTCAGCTACAAAGCATTAATTATGAATTGAATTTTTTGGAAATATTTTCTTCTTCGAATAAGATCGACTTAAGAAAGAATCTTGTTCATGTTAGATTGTGTTGGAAGGTTCACATCAATTATTAAATCACTTTTTATTCATTCGAGTGAAAGAAAAGCATAAAGACTTACTATATATATATATTTTAGTTCAGCCGAAGTGGTTAAGAAAACAATTGAGCTTTCATACAAGAACTAATGCTAATGCTTAGGCAATAGAAGAGATGGATTGTTGTAATTAAAACACAACCTCATCTAATTTTGTTAGGTTGCTATATACTCAGCTTAACCTAAACACTTACAAGTACTTTTTACAATGATGTTCTACTCCTAAAGAATAATGTTACATTGCACACATTATTGATGTCTTGTATTGTAACTTTTTGAGGAAGAGGAGTAAGTGAGGGTGTAATTAGACGACCCTTGAATGAGCAACTGAGCGGGGGTCACAAATGTGGATGAATTCGACGAAACTTTAGAGATTTTTGATGATTTGCTGGCTGTTTTGTGGGATTCACTTGCTGTTGTATGCTCGTGCTGGATTTCCTTCAATAAAGCCACAACATCTTTCATTGTAGGGCGATCCTCTACCCGGTTACTGGTGCAAAGTATAGCTATTCCGAGGCCTTGGAGCATTTCTTGAATTTGTGTGTCTGGATTGCCTTGAAGCTTTTGGTCAATGATATCGACAGGGTTCTTTTTGCTCTTTAGGTGATCTCGAACCCATTGAATCACGTGTTGTCCATCAGGGAATGACGGATCAACTGGTTTTTTCCCGGTTATGATTTCTAGCAGTACGACTCCATAACTATAAACATCGCTCTTCTCAGTAATTTTTAGCATGCAAGCATATTCTACAACCAAAAGAATCAAATCTTAGTCATTTCATGCCAGATGTAAACATTTGTATAGTTAATGAAAACTTACCGGGAGCGAAGTAGCCATATGATCCAGCAAATTGAGGGTTCGGTGAAAATGAAGTATTTTCTTCCTCGACAAGCCTGGCAAGCCCAAAATCAGCTAAATACGGTTCATACTGATCCCCTAAGAGTATGTTGTGCGCCTTGACATCTCGGTGGAGGATCGGGGGCACACAGTCGTGGTGTAAGTAGGCCAAGCCCTCTGCCACTCCTAAAGCGATCTTGAAACGAGTTTCCCACTCGACTATGCTTCCGCATTCCTCATGCAACAATGAACCTAATGTACCATTAGGCATGTAGTCATAGAACAATAGCTTAGTCTTCCGGTTAGCTGCCCAACCCAATAGTCTAACAATGTTCCTGTGTCTAATGCATGCCAACGTCGTAATCTCCGACGAAAATGATGGAGCGGAGCATGTTTCCGTTGTTCGGAATTTTTTGACAGCTATAACTAATCCCGATGAAATGTTTGCTCGATAAACTATGCCCGATCTCCCGCAACCAATCACATTGACGGCTGTCAAGCACTTTGTTACATCAACAATTGACAAGTCGAGCTTTTGGTACAACGTGACCTCCCATGGTGGACCCAACTCCACATCGCCGTCACTGTCCAAATCAGAATTGTGGGCCCCACATACCTGCATTTTGCCTCCGACGCTAATGTAGAGTGCAGCAAATAGTAGGACACATGCAGTAGAGAGCAACACCACCATTGCCACTCTCGTTGCCTTGCCATGCTTAGCCGCTCCACCCTTGTCGGCAGAGCACTCATTACCGGAAAAGCACAGGTCGGGATTGCCAGCTAGGACGCTAAGTGGCAGCTTGGCGAAGAATGACGTGTCGGGCACATGTCCCGATAACTGATTGTGGGACACATTCAACACCACAAGATTTTGAAGTTCGGTCAGATAATGTAGGTCCCCAGATAGCTGGTTGTAAGAAAGGTCCAAAACTCCAAGCTTATCCAATGCAGTAAACTCCGACGGTATCTCACCGGAAAGTTTATTCCAGCTTAAATTTAGAGCAATTTCCAATGCCGGAATCTTCCCCAAACTCGCCGGAATCTGTCCCTCGAGCCTATTGCCACTTAAATCAAGTAACTGAAGCCGGGAACACGAACCGAGTTGGCTCGGGATTGAACCAGATAGCCTGTTCTTCCCGAGAATAAGTTTTGTCAATGAACTCAATGAGCCAAGACTCGGATTCAGCGTACCTTCAATGAAATTTTCAGATACATCAAGGAACTGGAGAGTGGCAAGCTGGTTCAGGTTCCCCGGCAACTGTCCAGAGAGAGAATTTGAATGCAGATCAAGAAACGTCAGATTTTGGCATCCAGCGATCTCCATTGGTATAATTCCGGTTAACCTGTTTGAACCCAGATCCAAGAAATTTATATTCTTCAACCTCCCGATTTCCGGCGGAACTGGCCCTGTAAGCATATTATTACAGGCCCGGAACCGTATCAAGGACGAGCAGTTCCCGATTTCCGGCGGTATGGTTCCAGAAAGATTGTTAGATAATAATAAAAGCTTGTTCAGTTTCTGCAATTCAAAAATACCCTTTGGAATTGAACCTGTCAATGTATTCTGTGACATATCAATCGCCTCCAATTTATGACACGCAGATAAAGATGGCGGAATATTTCCCTCTAACCGATTTTGCCATAAGAATAACAGCGTAAGATTTGGCAGATTCCCAAATTCTGATGGAATAGTACCTGTGATTTGATTGTTGTCGAGTTCGATGTGAGTGAGGGCCGTGCAATTCCCAAGTAGTGCGGGAATTTTGCCAGATACTTGGTTTACACTCAGCTGCAGCTCTTGCAATAAGGCCAGGTTCCCAAAACTTTCCGGGATGCTGCCAGTTAACGAATTCATGGAAATATCAATTACGAGTAGTTGATGGCAGTTTCCAAGCTCGGGAGGAATTGTGCCCACCAAATTATTTTGCCAGAGAAGGAGGTTTTGCAGATTACGAAGGTTGCCAAGATTTGTCGGGATTGAGCCGGAGAGGGAGTTTTCATAGAGGTAGATGTTTTCCAGGGAGGTGCAGGCTCCTAATTCAGGTGGCATTTGGCCAGAGAGAAGAGTTGTGTAGACAGCAATAGTCTCGAGTTTTTCCAGGAGGCCAAGGGACGGAGGGAGGAACCCTGTAATGCTGGTTTCTGCCAGGCCTAACATGATCAAATTGGTACAATTGCCAATTTCTTGTGGGATTGAGCCTGCCAGGTTTTTGTTGCCTCCAGCTCTAATAACTTCAAGCCTTTTCAGGCTTCCAATGCTGCCTGGAATCAGTCCACTGAGTTGATTATCGTAGATAATCAATGACATAAGGGACGTTAAATTCCCAATTGCAGCTGGAATGGATCCTTCAAGTCGATTCGTGTCCAAAACAAGTTGTTCAAGCTTAGGCAAATGACAAATCTCACCCGGAATTTCACCTGTCAAGGCATTGTCACTCAAATCCAAGTACACCAATTCTTGAAGAGTTCCAATCTCCTTCGGGATTGATCCCGACAGGTTTGTCCCGGACAAGACTAGCCTCTTCAACGACGCCAGTGAACTGAAATTACTCGGTACATTTCCAAGTAAGTCCATATACTTCAAATTCATCTCCACAACTTCTTTATTCAAGTTGCAAGTCAACCCGAACCATTCACAAGAGGTATCATCCGTAGGATCCCAATTGCTTAACGCCTCGAGGGATCCATTCAACGATCTCTTCCAGGCGAGAAGCGCTTCTCCCTGTGGATTCAAACCCGAAACAGGAGGTGATAAAACGAAAAAAGAGAAAGCCAAGAAAAGGGTCCATGGATTAACAGGCATTAGACCTATGCTACAAACTCCAATGTCTGCAAACACGGATAATAGGAAGAAGATTTGAGCCTAGGGAGAAACAAATGGGAGAAATACAAAGTCATGTCTTGTGGGCTATGGATTAAGTTAGGGTTTATATAATAAGTTTAAAGAAACCAGATTCTCCGGATCCAAGAACAGCTAGGCCATTATTTTTTTCCAGAGAGATGGAATTTTAGATGGCTAATTTTTTGTATTTTATTTTTTGTAGACAGAGAAATGGCTGTTTTTGTATTAAAATGAGAAAGGTATGGACAAGTGAATGACTGGTGAGTAGGCACTGGAAATTTTTTAGTATCAACTTTTTTCACTTTGCATGTGACCTTTACATCCGTTAATCTTTTATTTTTATTGGGATTTATTTATAGATATAATTTTTGAATTTTTGCTCTTCTATCATTTTCGGTCCATTGCTTTCGAGGACTATGCGCTGGTACTTGTCTTCAGTTGTGTTTTTTCTTGGGTAAGCAAAAAAAAAAATGTTTATTTGTATTTATATATTTATAATGTTAATTCGTATTCTATTTTTCTAGTGATTAAAAAGTCATTTTGAAATTCAATTTTATTTATTGTTTTTAATCCAGAAGTCATCGTTTGGAAACAATTTATAAATTAGTTTATAAATAAAGTCAAAAATTAATTTCAACCACATATTCAAAAATCATAATCGTTCATTATTATCCACACATTTCGTTGAAAACTACCATTCATCTCAGAATTCCCATTCATAAACCATTTACAAACTTATCAAATTTTGTCGTTCTTAATCAGCGAAATGAATGGTCTTTTTCTTGGATAATAACTCCTAAAAAGATTGGTCCCTAATTTGGATCTTGGTCCAAATTCCCCAATGTCTTTATTATAGAGATTTTCACTATTGGATGTACACTAATATATAAATTCAATCAAAATCAAACATTAATTTCAATCATATATTTGTAACTATTGTTCATTATTATCGTGCACGACACATTTTGAACATCATTCAAGCGATCAATTTACGAGAAGGCTTATTTTTTTGGGGAATATCATACAGAATAATTGAAAGGGTTTCGCTATTTGTACACCCCTCACGACCAATAAAACAATCGTGGACCCCCTATTGTGGGGGCTTTACACTAAACATCCCGATGTACAAATAGCAAAATCATATTCTGCCATTCGAGAAAAATAGCAGTTCAGATCTAGATCTAAATCAGCAGACCACAGAATAAATACATCTTATTCTTGATCCATAGATAGACAGATCTATGACACCATTAGAAATCATATTTTGGTACATAAATACGTCAAGATTTGCAGTGGAAAAACATGCACAAAATTTTATTATTTCTGAGAAAATGGTGTGCTAATTTGACTTATAATTAACCCATAAAATAAGAACTTCATTATAATGTAATAAGAATTAGGTTTTTCTCTCAGGGCATTGGTGGGGATTAAAATCAGATTTTCAATAGATTTTGATAAAAATTGATGAAATATACGGTTGAAAAGTTGTGAGACCCATAAAATATGTGGTTCAAATTAATTGTTGATTTTGATTTAAATTAAAATCTAGATTTTAATTTTTACCAAACAAGGACTTAATAAATAAAACAGCAATCACGTGACGTCGCGTGACAGAAGGCTAACTTTTTGATTTGTTTGATCCACATGTTGCTTGTGTTGTGACTTTGGTATGGAATTGATATTATTTTACTTAATTGCCTTACGAGGATGTCGATTAGGGATCCAAGGACGAGACTTTGGGATGCACATGAGAGAGAATATTTTTATTTTAACGTTATTACATTATGTGTTTGGATATGATCAATTTAGACGATTGTATTGTATAATCCACTTTATGAAACAAGTCAAATTTCTTTATATCATGCTATCGTATGAACTTTCGATAAATAACTTTAATGTATTTGCTAACCTCGAGCATTTTTTACAGGTAATTGTATATTAAATGCAATGACGATAAGTCTTTTTTCTCTATGACGAGTAATCTTACGATGATATTTCTTTGGATGAATTTCATCTCATGTACCATTCTGAATAGGACTCTTATAAATATTCAAGGAAGACGATTTTAATGAGGATCCTAAACGTAGCGAAGTTTTATTTTTTAACCAATCACATTGTAAGAGAAGTTTCGAGTAATCTTTATCTCAATAGCATAAAGAATGAGACAAACACAACATTGTTACCATCATTGTAGCAATGTGACTTTTCTTAATAACCGAGTTTTAATCATTCAAAGAGTGTCTAACAGATACATGAGTTTTCTTGATATTAAGAAAAAGTAATTGCCTATCTAATCAACAACATGCTCATGTCAAGAATAGTAAAAACAATGGCTTTTTAGAACTTTAATTAATGCTAGTTTCTATCTAGTTTTGTGATTTATGTTCGTACCATCACATCTAAATATCAGCATGTTTACAATAACTTTAACGGTGCGTTTGATTGTGAGCATGAAATTTGTACAAAAATAAATAAATTCTAGGCAATTTAATTGTCTAAAAATTATTTGTATAAAAATTATTAATTAAATGTGTTTGATTGATTTAGTTTTCAATTTAGAAAATATTATACTTGCCCATTTTTTATTCATGTGTAGATGAGAGAGTGGGAATAGATAGAGAGGAAAAGGGAGTGTATTACCTGGAAAATAAAAATCAATCGACCCCCCCCAAATAAAATATTTTCCCTCAAAACAAGAAAAATATGATCACGTAACCAAATGTAAGAAAATATTTTCTGTGGAAAAAATTATTAGTCAACAGAACAAAAGTAGAAAATTATGTTGAAAAAACACATTTTCTATGAAAAATATTGGCAATCAAACGCAACCCAAGAAATACTATTTTTTGCCAACATCATGCTCTAGTTTAAACCCTACTACTACTACTTCTCGCAAGACACCGCCATATATTTTGAAAATCTAGATAATTATTGAAATATGACTTAAATCATCAGAATGAAATATAAAGTCCAAATCCTATACTAATCACTTCTCATCTAGAGACACATCATGGAGCAACCCGCCAAACTAAAATCTAGGGGTTTATGATCCTTCTATAATCTTATGATATGATTGCTTCCCTAGTATTTCAACTACTTCTTCACTAAATTGACAATGAATTCAAAAGATTAGCTTAAGCCCCTATTTCGCTAAAAATTGGATTAATTTTGATAAAAATTGATGAAATATGTGTTTGAAAAGTTGATAAAAATTGTAAATTATATAAAATGTATGGCTAAAAATGAATTTAAAAAAAATGAATTTTGGAAAATGTGGATCAAACAAAGACTAAATGTTCTTTCAAGATTTAAACGAGGATAAGAACCAAAAAAACATTCTGAGTATTTATGAAAACCATGTGTATATCAGAATTTTGTGCACAAAGTAAATCTGGTTTGCACTTGAAGGGATGTAATGAAGGGAAATTTAAGGGTCCGTTTGATTGCAAGAGTAATATTTAGGTGGAAAGAAAATAAATTTCAAGGAATTGAATTATCTAGAATTGTTTCCTAGAAATTGTCAATTAATTGTGTTTGATTGGTATAATTTTTCAAGTGGAAAATATTGAAATTTTGGATCTTTTAGTGTTCGTTTGGCTTTATTTTAAATGAAAATTGTCCATTAAAGGAATATAATTTGTTACAAATGGTAATATAATTTGTTTCCATTGTGAAAAAAAAAAGTAGACTGAAAAACCAAATCCCACCAAATTGGTGGGAATTGATTTTCCTCAAAACCATGGAATTGGAACCGTATGAGGCAAAAGATGGAAAATAAATTGTCAAGAAAATTTTCACAATCAAACATGACTTCTGATGGAAGATGAAATTTCATTTTCAAGTTCCATGGAAAATAAACCTTATCGAACATGACATAAATATTTATATACGTGAAAAATAAGTAATGTCACTTTTTATAGTCTCACGATCGGGATTCATCCTTTCATTCGTCTATTAGTTAACGCAAAAATATAATTAAGTAATCGAAAGCATTATATTTTAATTACCAACTTTTCAATTTTGAATATTATCACATTTTCTTTTGAACAAACCACTCCGAATAACTTCAGACTAAACGGGAGTCAAGTTTCGAGTCCTTTGAAAATGTTTGATAAGTTTGGCTATATTTGATTGGAAAGGATTAAGTCTAATTATTATTCGTGTTCATTATACAGAGTCGGACATGACTACAGTAATTGAAATTTTAACTTCTTTTTTCTTTATTCTGATTGGTGCACATTAAAATGAGAGAATGCATTTTTTTGAAGTGATGTGATGAGAAATATGTGGTTGAAAAAGAAGAAAAAATTATTGATGTGATAGATAATATTATTTTATTAAAGAATGTGTGGTTGAAAATGAATAGAAGAATGAGAATGAAAAAAATAATGTGGCTCAAGCAGTGACCGTACTGTTTAATTTTATCCAATATTTCATATCAAACACATAAATCTGTGTATAAACAAACATGCACGCATGTGACCAAACGTATTTCTCTCTTAAAGCTAAACTTTTAGATGATGTAATTTAATGTAATGTTTTTTTAAAAGGAGGATATAAATTATCTCCCATGCTGTATTATAAAATGTTAAAGGCATGATATCATTTCTACGAAGATTTTTGACTACAATTTAATTAGATGGATACTAATGTAAAAGGGTTCATGCAAGAGATGATGATTAATTAAACAAATGACACTAAGATATGCATGTTAGTGGAAAAATTCTTTAATCCTTTGAAAGTTTCAATTATTAGTTTCAAAGATGATTTAGTCGTGTTTCTTTGTTGACCATTCTCCTCCCCATATAATTTCTTTAACAATATTGATAAGATCGAATTCCTCGTGTGGTTGTTTTTCCGAAACAAACTGAGACAGAGAGATAATTGTTGATTTTGACTTGATATTAGAAGCAGATTTTAATCAAAATCAAACAGGGACTTAGTTTATTGGTGATTTATTG